TAATGAGTGACCTGCTGTCAGTTTAAACAGTTAACCAAGTTAATGAGCAATTATGTAACTTGGTAGTAATTATAGATAAACTAGTGTTTAATAAACATTCCTGTTTTCTATATGATTAATATCAAATCAGTGGAATGTAACTAACTACATTAACTGTACCCTAGTACAATTGAGATACTTGTACTGTACTTGAGGATTTCCATTGGCTATTCTGCATAATGAGTAACTTTACTTTTTACTTGAGTTCAGGACTTGTTTACTTGTGATGGAGTATTTCTAGACTACGATATTACTTTTACCTCAGTAGACTGAGTACTTCTTTAAGTACTGCAAATGGCAATTAAACAACTCTTAAGTTGTTTAATTGTTAACTCTTAACAACGTTTGAAGTACTGAAGAGGCAAAACTACACAGAATGTCACAAGAAGCAAAAATGTAAGAACCACAATCCTTGGTCCTAATCAACATTAAATATACAGAATGTGTGAGCTGATGTTGGATCAGTTGTAGATTATTAATCCTAAAATCAACACAACAGAAACAAAAAAAGACTGACAACAGACGTGTTTCTAAAGAACTATATTTACATAATACTCTTGTTTTACAGAGAACCATATCAAAAGTATAAAATACTTACAAAAACGCTGCAATATATAAAAATAACATCTATCTTCTCCAGATCATTAGGAAAGGCATACATACAAAAAAATATATTTATAATACATTTACACAGTTGAACCCAGAAACTCCGGGAGGCCGAGCGACGCTGGAAGCTGGAGATTCGGGCAGGAGATCGGCAGCCTTTTTGGATTTTTGGACATGTGAAACAAGCTCCGAGTTTATCAATAATAACTTTACAAATAAAATACACAACATGTCTGTAAAACACAAACGACTCTTTGAAGAAGTCAAAAACAGTACAGTAGATAGAACGGCCGGGTCACAGTTCCACCTAAAAAGAACAGCTGAGCCCGGTCACACAGATCCGCCTTAAAAAAAAAAAAAAAAAAAAAGGTCGCAGACGCCGACTGGAGGTCAGAAAAAAAGATCGGACGGCAGACGAGGAATCGAACGATATTTTTAGAACTATAACCATGAGGACAAAACTGTGTTCAGCGTTAAATTCATCGTCCACCGCCGGACCCGACAGGAAGTAGATTAAAGTCTGGTCTTGTTTATCTGGCGACATTTTGAATTTGGGAAACACTGAAGAAAAAAATACAAATCTTGATTTTCGAGCAGAAATGTTTTTCTTCATTGAATAATTTTCATATTTGGAAAATATAATTTTAACATCACAAGATGAAGAACATGTTTTAACACGTGTTATGAACTAAAACTGTGTTTCCTGATTTACATTAAATCTACAGGAAGACGTAGTCACAAAAACGTTTTTGAAATATTGAGGAAACAACTGGAAACGTCAAACGTGACCAGATGTGCAGCTCAGTGATATTATGCTTCATCTGGTTTAAAGTCAGTCTCTGTGTCACGAGGAAACAGTCTTTTTAGAGATTTACAGGTTACAAAATAAAGTTTAAAGCCAGAAAGTTTCAAACTAATGAATGGATTTCTCACACACAGGTGAGTCTGTTGTGAAGAGGAAGTAGAACATTTACATTTCAAACAAACAACGCTCTGAATGGATCTAGTGTGGTCTGTGTCTCTGCTGCTCAGAGGTTCATATCACGCTTCTTTTTGCAGTTTTCTTCACACAAACTCTTAAACTTCTGACATTTAAAAAAGGAACATATAAATGTTTTTGCACGTTTTACTGCAACTACTTTCATTTGGGATGTAAACAAAGTATTTAAAGAATTATCTGTCTGGTGAGTAAAAACAAAACTTATTTACTCAAACAAAGATTTTCTGTTTCTTTAACGCCGACTAAAATTAGGTTTTTAGTTGCAAACAAAAGAAATTCATCCAAAAATCAAAAGAAGTTCCGTCGACCCATTCAGAAAATAAAATGTACGAAAGACTTTCCCTAAACAAATCAAGCTGCTTTGTTGTAGATATTTAAATAATATTTCCCTGCAGTATGAAAATGAACGTTTGAATTTGGCTCAGTTATCACGTGTGTTTTTTCACAGTAACATCTTTTGGTAAATTATTACAATAAAATAAAAATAACGTGATGGATTTTCTCTCGAAGAAGTTAAAGTGAAACTATACCAGCGTGTTAGAATTCGATAAACTCAACTCATCACGATAACGTTACGATTTATTGTCGCACAATACTATTTTTTACTGAATAGAGCTTGAACGCATCATAACGTAACTCAATGCGACCTCCGTTAACGTTAGCCATTAGCTCCGTTATTTAGCCGAGCAGCACTGTGCTGCTAACGGCTAACCGCTAATGTTAACCAGCTCTCCTCGTGCCGATATCAACAAAGATTTATTGTTCACGATGTAACTTTATGAAGGAAACTTCTCTCGTTTTCAGTGAGTATTTAAGAAAACAAGAATCACGTTTTCAGAGATTCGGCATCGACTTGATACAGAAATCATAAAAACACAACATAACGTTTTGGAAAGTAGTCGCAGTATTTCAGAAGTACTTCGTAGTAAACGGTAGTAAAACAAGCAAAAACACCGCTATGTTCCCTTTAAGATGAGCTGCTCACATAAAGCTAATATGCGTTTAAAGAGTGATTTTACTTCATCTCTGCTGAAAAACAAACTTTTCCAAGGATTTGTAACGCTGGCGGGCGGTCTGTGTGTGTGTGTGTGTGTGTGTGTGGGGGGGGGGGCACAGTGGTTCACCGAACCACAGCTTCAGTAGTCTTAATATTAATACGACTCTGTTCAGTCTCACGAACACAGCAGAGTAACAGGAAGTAAACCGACATCAGACGAGTCGCTTCTTTACAGATTTACACACGAGGTGGAAACAACTCAAACATTTGGGCGATTAAACTCATAAAATAAACAGTTATTCTGTTAAATTTACTAAATTAAAGTCGTGCTTATGAAACTACGGGACAATAGTAAGCTGGTGACTTTTTATACGATGTATAAACAGAGGTTCGTTTATAATCTTTTTTATCTGTGGTCGTTTTTATACATTTTTTATGTTGACTTTTTAAAATTTGTTTTTTAAAATCTTTCAATTCACCAAAACAAAACCTTCCAACAGTTTCTCGAATGAAAATACCAAAGTAATTTATATCATAATATAGAATTATAAAGTTCAACTGGACATTAATGGATGAACTTCCTGTTCACCTGTAGATGCAGAACGTACCTGAAGACCAAAAGGCTTTTTAACGCTGCTTTTCTACCACGTGTGCAATTCTGCAAAGAGCAACTCATCCTGAAATTGTCATATTTTTGAATGAAGCCGTTTCTCCTCAGAACAAAGAGGATGAAACTGGATTTTTGAACCTCCAGCCTGCTGAACTCATCCACTGTTCTTTAACCGACAACCTTCATTAGTTTACCTGCCAGATGTGTGTTTTTTAGAGCTCAGACTTTGTTAGCCGGGTGGCTAATGCTAACGCTCTGACCTCCCGTCTGGATCGTTTCATCACAACAGTGTTGAAACCTTTTGTTTCTGCTTGCAGAACATCCTTCAAGGACTCATTCCAAGGTGCAGCCTCTCGGCTGGTCTCAGCAGGGTGTCTAGGTGCGCAGACAGGTGTGCGTGGGGGCGGGACTAGTGGTGGCTGGCGAGCAGTTCATCCAGGTCGGCCATCCACTCCTGTGTGCTCTGACCCTTCAGCAGAGAGTCCACCAGCTCGCTCTCTCCGGCGAAGCTCCCCGATGCCACGTTGTACCCGAAGGACACCTGCTGCTGCTGACTGGGGGTCCTGCTCACCTGGTAACCTTGGTTACATTGCAGGCCCTGGCGCCCGTTGCCCTGCGGCGGTCCGAACGCTGCCAGGTCGGGTAAGACGGCCTGGTTCTGACCGGCCTGAGTCGTCTGCTGCTGCTGAGCGAGGCTCTGAGGGTTGGGGGCCGCCCTCTGCTGGGCGGCGGCCGCCATGTTTGTCTGCATCATCTGGTTCAGGCCTCCCATTGGACGCCCGTTGGGGTTGGCGCCGAAGGGCGCGGCGCCCGGGGGCATCTTGGGGAGGCGAGACTGCTGCTGCTGCTGCTGCTGCATGTGGAAGGTGTTGGGCGGGTTGCCGAAGGCGTTGGAGGGCAGACCGGCGTTGCTGGAGGGCGGCTGGTTGGCCATCTGCTGCTGCCAGGCGGCGGCAGCAGCAGCGGCGCTCTGGGCGCCCTGCATGCCTCCGGGCATTGTAGGTCCCATACTGTTCTGCATGGAGCCCGGCATGCGGGCGGCAGCAGCAGCGGCAGCTACCAGCTGCCGCTGCTGCTTCAACATGGCGGCGTTGGGCTGAGACTTCAGGTGCTGCTGCTGAGCCAGAAGATTCTGCCTGTAGGCGGCGCTCATGGCGCCCAGAGGCTGGCGCTGCTGGGACGGGTGAGACGGGTGGGACGACGGGTGAGACGACGGGTGAAGGTTCATGTTGTTGTAGAGCACCTGCTGCACGTCCACGTTGGCCCCGCCCCCTCCTCCTCCGCAGGACGACAGGCCAATGTCGCCCTGACTGCCGGTCGGAGGCGGAGCTACACCACCTGTCGGCATGCTCATACCCAGCATGCTTTGGTTCTGGGGGAACATGCGCTGGGGGCCGGGGGCGGGGCCTCCCATGGAGCCGACACTGCCCATTGGCTGAGAGGAAGCTGTGAAGGAGAAAGTTTATTTAATTTATTCATGTGAAGTAGAACAACTTTATTATTTTAATTCGTGATAAATCTGCAAATTACTTTCTCAATTATTTGACTTGTCTATGAAATAATTCCATCTTAGTTTCTTCAAATTCTAAACTTTTAATGTCTTTATATTCGGTTTATTACGGTCACATTAAACAAAGATAATCCTCACAAAGTTTAACAATTAACTCACAGAATCACTCACCCTAGATTACCTCATAATAACATAATTAACTCATAATAAAATAGGAGGATAAAGTAATGGATTTAAAAACCAACTCCCACTCACATACTTCCTCTTAAGTGCTTCACAAAGTGTGATAAAGTTAATAATCATCCAGCAGTGGAAGAAGTAAATTATTATTTTAACCACTTTATCTTTAGAAGACAGTTTAATGTTGCAGCTCTTAAGTTTAACATCAGTTTGAGTTCATTAAGATCTTTGAGCTCAACAGACGTTAAAGTGATGAACATGACGTTCAGCTGCTGTTATTTATTTAACTTTCAAATCAGCGGTGAGCTTCATTTACAATCAGGCAGAGAAAGGTTTGTTCTGAGCGTCATCGGTATTCTAATGAAGGTCCAAACAAACAAACTTCTGTTCAATTTAAATTAGTTTTACCAAACAGCAGCTCTTTCTGTGGTCGTCTGTCTATGAAATAAACTATGTTTGTTATTCCTTTACTAATCATTTAAACAGGTGAAGAACCTGAAAACTTGTGGGGGGGGGGGGGGGGGAAGCGGATCACCTTACATGTATGTGACGATAGATTTAAAGTTTTTATTATAAAAATAAATAAAAAGCCATAATCTTTAAAATCTCAAATGTAACGTATTCCACAGAGAAACAGATTTATTAATTTGATGGATTAAGTTAAGTTTCAGGTTTTTGAATACATTCATTTTACTTAATTTAAGTGTCATAGAAAATATCATAATTAATCTTTAATCAATATTAATTTTAAACAAATCTTTCTGAAGATTTTAATACATCTTTCACCCGCTTTGAGCGTCTCAAAAGGAGGATCTTTATTTTTAAAAGGTAATTAAATATTAAAACTAGACATTTTTTAAATTAGACATTTTAATTGAAAATTTAAATTTGTATCACGCTGAGTCCAATTAAATGTCGTATAAAACTAAACAAATCACAATAGTTAATAAAAATAGATTTTAGTCTGGACTAAGATATTTGCTTCACTTTATTTGTTAGATATTTCTATTCTGTTTGTTCCGTTTCTGTTCTTTAAATATCTTTCTGTGTGTTGATGCAGAAAAATCATTGAGCAGAACGGACTTCATGAAAGATTGAAGGTTCCTGAATTCTCTCCGGTGATTTTGATTTGTGAACTGTTTCTCTAATTAATTTATAGAAAAACAAAACAATAAAAGTAGGCTGTATAAAACGTAACCCTCTGAACCCTAAAATGGAAAAGCATGTTTTTCAACACCGTTTATCAGCCAGAAGCTGTAAAAAAAAAAAACTAAAAAAAAACGTTATTGTCACATTTTCATCTTTCCGATGCTCCTTGAACACATCGTGTGTGACGAACGCTTATGTCAGAAAAAGCAGCCGAAGCGAAGCTTAAAATTGTGATATTTCATCAAAATCATTTTATTCTACATGTTTAAAGTCTCTCCTCTAATGAAGCATTCACTTTAACCAGATTGTGTAGAAACATTAAAGTGTGAGCTCCTCAGTGAAAGTATGAAGTCATGATTGATTCATGTGAGACCAACAGTCATGTGACAATAATTTGGCAAAAAAAATAAACGACGGACGTCCTGCTATCCTACCTGTAAACTGGTTGACTGGCGGCTGTGGGAACGGGTTCTGATTGGCCGGTTGACCCGGCTGGTCCTGGTACTGTGGGGGGGGTCGAGTCAGGTGTCTCTGCAGCTGTTGGTCCTGCTGCCGCTGCTTCTCCTAAAACAGAGAAACGGACAACTCATCAGACATTTTATCTAGAAAACAACAGTCTCTAATCCTCTGGCTGCTTCACATCACAACAGCTCCCTCTAGTGGTTAAAGTGAGTGTTTACAGGTGAAGTGTTCCTCTTCCTCTCAGCTCGACTGCACGTTTGAACATCAACCATGACATGAATGTTAAAAAACGGTCTCAGACAGACTGTCGTCATCCTTCATCCACTGATTCATTCTTCTTCTTCTTGGGTAACAATGAGCTAAACTCTTCTTTTTCTTCAAGGGCAGGGGTGCCCACACTTTTTCGCCTTGCGAGCTACTTTTAAAATGACCAAGTCAAAATGATACATATATACATATACACATATATATACATACATATACACATACATACATACATACATACATACATA